GTGTTTCTTTAGGTTGACTAAAGGAGACTAATTCTGGTATCGCTAGAAAGCATAACTTTTGGTACCTTTGAAATGTACCTCATGTCTAATAGATCAACTTGCCAGGGTAGAGAAACATATGTCTGAATTTAAACCCAAGTGCAGGTATCATTCTCACTTTGAAAACAAGTGATGTAAATTTTTTTTTCGCTGGCTTTTCTTGTTTTTCTAATACTGACAATGGTGGAGAATACTATCATGTCATGTCATAACTCAGGTTGAAGTCTTCAAATAGCCTTAAATAAAACATTAACATTTTTCAATAGGCCAACTACTTGCAGTTAATCCCAAAATATCTGAAAAAAAAGTGAAATTGGTGGCATTTGATGCTTTTTTTATGTACAAAACTGTTGCATCTTGAAAGGATGCTGGTTCCAACTTTAATTTTCCCTTGAGGAACAGAACATGTGAGTAATATGACAGGTTGGTATTAATTTACTGCTCAAACAAAAATGGATTCAAAGGAGATGTAAAACCAATTCTTAAACCAATTCTGGTTTTCTGACCAGAGGTACTGCTCACTATAGGAGAAGATCAGGTTCAAGAACAGCTGAGGAACCTGAAGGTGCTCAAGTCCATGGGACCTGATTACATTCATCAGGTCCTGAGGGAACCAGCAGATGAAGTTGCCAAGCCACTATCCATCATATTTGAGAAGTTGTGGCAGTTCAGTGAAGTTCCAACTGGCTGGAAAAGGGGAAACATAACCCCCATTTTAAAAAAGGGCAAAAAAGAATACCTGGGGAACTAGTGGCCAGTCAATCTCACCTCTGTACCTGGCAAGATCATGGAGCAGATCCTCCTGGAAACTCTGCTAAGGCACATCGAAAATAAGGAGGTTATTGGTGACAGCCAACATGGCTTCACTAAGGGCAAATCGTGCCTTACAAATTTGGTAACCTTATACGATAGTGTTACAGCATTGGTGGATAAGGAGAGATCAGCCGATGCCATCTACCTGGACTTGTGCAAAGCATTTGACACTGTTCTGCACGACATCCTGGTGTCTAAATTGGAGAGACGTGGATTTGACCAATGAACCACTCGGTGGATAAGGAACTGGCTGGACAGTTGCAGTCAAAGAGTTGTGGTCAATGGCTCCATGTCCAAGTGGCGAGCAGTGACAAGTGGTGTTCCTCAGGGGTTGGTACTGGGACCAGTGTTGTTTAACATGTTTGTTGGTGACATGGATGTTGGGATGGAGTGCACTCTCAGCAAGTTTGCTGATAACACCAAGCTGTGTGGAGTGGTTGACACGCTGGAGGGGAGGGATGCTATCCAGAGGAATCTGGAGAGGCTTGAGAGGTGGGCCTGTGAAAACCTCATGAAATTCAACAAGGCCAAGTGCAAGGTCCTGCATGTGGGCTGGGCAATCTCATGCACAAATACAGTCTGGGCAGAGAGTGGATTGAGAGCGCCCTGAGGAGAAGGCCTTGGGGGTCTTGGTTGATGAGAAGTTCAACGTGAGCTGGCAATGTGTGCTCACAATCCAGAAGGCCGACCATATCCTGGGCTGCATGAAAAGAAGTGTGGCCAGCAGGTCGAGGGAGGTGATTCTTCCTTTCTACTCCGCTCTTGTGAGACCTCACCTGGGGTACTGTGTTCAGCTCTGGGGCCCCCAACATAAGAAGGACACGTACCTGTTGGAGCAAATCCAGAGGAGGGCCACAAAGATGATCAGAGGGCTGGAGCACCTCTCCTATGAGGGCAGGCTGAGAGAATTGTTCAGCCTGGAAAAGAGAAGACTCCAGGGAGATCTTATAGGAGTCTTCTAGTATCTGAAGGGTGCCTCCAAGAAAGCTGGAGACAGACTTTTTACAAGTGCATGTAGTGATAGGATGAGAGGTAATGGCTTCAAACTGGAAGAGGGTAGATTTAGAATAGATATTAGGAAGAAATTCTTTACCCTGAGGGTGGTGAGGCACTGGAACAAATTGCCTGGGGAAGGTGTGGAAGCCCCATCCCTGGAAGTGTTCAAGACCAGGCTGGATGGGGATTTGAGCAACCTGGTCTCGCAGAAGGTGTCTCTGTCCATGGCAGGGGGGTTGGAACTAGGTGATCTTTAAGGTCCCTTCCAACCTAAACCCTTCTATGATTCTATGACTCTAAAATGTAAAAATCCAAAGCGCAGTACTTTCAATTATAGCAATTTGTATATATCTGTTGACTGCCCGTTCACGTCTCTGTTGTTTGTCGGGCATAGTGTGTTAAGACAGCAACAGGACTATACCTGGGCTTTGTTTGTAGATTATTTTACACTGTTGGGGTTGGGTTTTGGTGCAGTCTTCTATTTTCTCCCAAGCACATCATCAGCACTGTGCTTAAAGACTCATGTTTAAAAAACTGAATGCAAGTCCACTGTCGGTTGAGTTTCCAACTGTGGAAGTCTGGGGGCGGGGGAAGGACAGGGGAGACTGACATGGAGACTCAAAAAATTGCCCAACTCTAAATACGTGGTTCTTTAAAGGGGGTGATGACTTGCGGCCGCTACTGACTTTTGCTGGTATTGTGAGTACTTGGCACTTCTAAGAAGTGTCATTATCCATCCACTCCTTCATGAGTGAATAACTCGGGAATTTTTTTTTGTGGGGGAAAAGATAATGATAATTTAATGTTAAATGTATCCATTACTTGTTAGCCCCTCAGGTTTCTCTTTCTGTCTGACCCCATGTAGATGGGTAGTGAAGCAGCTGCAGATGGAAGAGCCCTAAGACCTGAAATGCAGCCAAACCCAGCCTGTTTTCATTAAACTGGGTGTCAATGCTCTCTCTCTTTTTTTGAATCTTCCCTTCAACCTCCTCATCTTACTACCTCATCAGAATCAATCACTTTCTAATTAACTAGTCAGATTCCAATGCAGTTTGCCAAAATTTTATTATCCTGCTCTCAGAGTTATAGCATGCAATTATTTATTCAAGTTTCTACTGCTCCCACTTTGATGGAACTGGGTGAAAGAAATCTCTCTCTGGGAGCCTAAGGGAGCTCTGTAATGAGAAACAGTTGCAGGAAGGTGAGTAACCCTTTTGCTTCGCAGGGTCTGCAATATGAGGAGAAAGGAAAAAACACATGTGCTCCCTCTTTATGTTCCAGCATCCAGGGGGAAGAAATTAATGCAAAAACCAGCTTCCACATGTATTTCTTGGGTTTATGGTTAGATTTTTTTTTTCCTAATTGGGAGTAAAACAATTATTCTTTTTGGGGTATTACAGTAACATTCACAGTTGAGGGTCAGGCCCTTAGTAAGCACGGCAGAAACAAATATAAGACGATATTCTTCAGGAGAGTTGGGCATTACAGTACAAAGTGCTATAATACATTGCATTGTGACGCTGCCTCTGTTGAACCTTGAAATTGCTCATGCAACATGTGCACAGGTTGGATGTCTTGAGAAAGGGATTTACAAAAGATAGCACCTTGAGCAGGGAACTAACTGAACATATCGTTAGGAAATGCAGAGGTGATGAAGACAGCCTCAGCCTTCCTACTTAAACCTAGTAAGGAATCAACACCTTGACTAGTGGGGCATTCACAGCAGTTAGCCTTCTCCTGGGCTGAGGTACCTAAGGTAGCTCTGTCCACTTTCTTAAAAAATGGTAGCAAGAAAGCTTTGTCATAACTGAAAGATGGAATAATTTTCAGGAGGGTGTAAAAGCTCTTCTAAGATCTTCATTTTGTTTGATTTGGTATGCAGCCTGAGATTTTATTTTCTTGTATCCCAGATGTTAATGATTGAACTAGAAAATTATATGCACCTACCTTCTTTGCCTCAGTAAGAATACCATCACTTAAATGAAGTTTCAACAACGAAGACAGAGATACATAGCAGAATGCCTAATAGTTTGCTGGAGTTGGAAGCAGTGAGCAGCCCCAAGGTTTTGCACATGCTCCCATTACTTTGGTACCACTGGTGGTCTGCTATGACCCAAAACCGTATGTCACAGGATGGCCAAAGTTACCAACGTGTTCCTTTGTCTACATCCATATAGCTCTTTTCAGCCAGACACAAATGAAGGCTTGAGTTTGTTGCACCAAATGAATGTCGCTTCTGCCTGTAGGGCCTGTGGGGCTGTCCATCAAACTCCTTTACCTTCATAGGTACAAGGGAGGAGTCAACTGTTGCCCACCGGGCTCCAGCAGAGCATGAGCTAATGCAGGGCAAGATGCAGAGCCTGGACTTGTGTTCAACTTCTGGAACAAACTCAATGTAGTGATCAGGTTGTTACTTCTCAGGTTCTGCTCTGGTTAGGCTGTGTTTTGGAGACTATTAATGAGGCTTGTCACTCCCCCAGCGCCCGAGGGTAGCGCATGTGTATGGTGCAGTCCTTTCCATGCTGTCGTAGGGGCCAGAGACCTGGCTTACAGGTACTCCCCATCCTCCCCTGAGACAGTGGGACACACTGCTGTGGAAAGACTGTGCAGGCAAAGCAGCACCCTGCAGAGTGCTCTTGTGCCTTGCTGCTACAGTGGCACCATTACTTTTCCTTTATATCTGCAGTAAAAGGCCAGGGAAGAAAGTTTTTGGCTTGCTAGTGAGCCTTGTAGACACTCTCTCAACTGCCTCCAGAAAATTATTCTGCCAGGGAGATTCTCAAACTGAAGCCACTTCCTTTTTCTATTCCTGTGTGTGTTCACATCTTGAATTAACTCAGTGTTTTAAATAAAACCATCAGCCAGATAATGAAGCATGCAACTATGTACGCTAACAAGAAGTGGAAGAGTGAAAAAAGCAAATTTGCAAGTGTGGCACCTATATTATTTTAAGGCAATAAGTGTTTCTTGTTAAAATTGTCAGGCATGATTAATCTAATTCCTATGCTATTTTATTGGGAAATCAGGAATTTAATGGGCAAAGGCTGCTTTTCAGAGTATAAAATAGCTTGAAGCAAAGTGCCAAATGAAAGTCCACCCACTACAGTCTTCAACAAACATCAGAAAAAGGAGATGAAAATAATCAAACTCACCTTAAGCCTGTTAAATGCAGCCCTCAGGATCTGCGTTTCCCTCTCGCTCTCAGGAACAACTCGTATCACTTTATCACTGCCAATAACAGAACATTGAATTGACACTTTAAGGCTCTTTGCAGCAGCACAATGCAAGAGTAAATAGGTTCAGATAGCTACCACACTTGTGCTCTTTTTCAGCATCTGCAAAATGTTGGGTGAACTGCAGCTCTGCTTCTAAACTTGCTCCCTGGATTATGCACTTCCATAGAAATTATTTGCTCTTTACAGATCAGGGTGTCAACTTCACCCTTCATTTCTATGTAAATGCTTTTGTTCATTCCTTCTAATTTAAACCATTCAGGCTGACATCTTCCATACCGAATATCTTCCTTAGATCAAAAAAAATTACTTTTTTTTGAAAAAAAAAATAATCTGTTTCTGAGGACAAGATTAGGTAAGGTACATTGTTTTTGTATGTTTAAACATTTAATGGGCTTTGAAGAGTCCAGAGGTCTCGTGCTTTAAAGATGGGACTTGACTTAAGAAGAGAGGTGACCATCATATAAGGGCCATGCCTTTTGCTTTATCCATTAAAGCTTGCACAAATTTTGTGAAGTAAATAGCTGTCCATACATGCTTAGAAGGTTCTAGATAATAGCAGCTCATTTTATGCACTTTCTTTAGCAGATCTCAATGAACATAACTTTGCAAACAGGAAACAAGAAACTGAATAGCTGTTCATTCAGTGACCACTATCCACGATGTGAACTATGGGAGACTGGAGACCATAGAAAATATAGGGGGCTAAGATATCATCATCATAAACCATACACAAGAGGGCTGAAATAAATTTGTGTAGCCAATGCTAATTTCTGCATTTTCCCACATTTTGAGTTTTTGAATTTGTACTGTTAATTATCAGTACTTCTCTTCCAAGAGCCCTTGGAGGTCATGTGTATCTTTATTTCTACAGCTCTATCCAGTAGCCAGAACCCCCTTTTAAAAAAAATTATTTATCTCTAGTTTCCTTATTATCTGGGAATTTTATGCAGTAACATTTCCCTTGACACTGAGAGAAGATTCTCTTAAATGTATTGTGAACTCTCCTACTTTCCTGGAGCTTCTGAGTTTGCTCAGAAGATATCTGGCCAACTAGAAGCAAAACTGGTGAGCGTGCATTTGCCAGCCTCGCTGTTTTAGAAAGGCTCCCAATCTGCTGCTGTTCTCAGCAAGCAGACACCAAGTCTGGCCTTTGGTGTACTGCAGCTACAGCTCTGGTAGGACTCAACTTTGTTGCAAGAATCCTTAAAGTATATATAGGTAAGCATTAAATATTGTCACTAAGTGGTTCAGAAGAACACACTGGTTGTTGGGTTCAGTACTATTAATAAACACTGAATTCTGAAATGGCTTACTTTGCCTCTTTGTGGTAGCCATTTCCCTTCCCCCATTCTTCCTTAGTCTTTTCTCTCCAGTCAATGTCTGCTCCCCTTGGTTAGCCTCTGATCCTTCTGTCTGTCTGAGCTCTTCAGTTTTGGTTCTCACCCCTGCCGAACTTTCCCTGTAGACAGGTCCCAAGCCTTAAAACTCCTAAGTCTTCCAACAGCTTCATGGCCTTAATGTTTTTGGTCCAGTGAGACTCCAGGCCGTGGCTGCAATAACAATGATGTACCCAGAGATGTGGACCTCAGTCCATTCTGCTTGTCTGCTGTTGACCTTACTTGACAAATGGTCTATGCCTAAGAAGGAAGACTTCTGAAAGCACTCTTGTTATAATTAGGCAGCTCTAATTTTAGGGGAAATTACTATGCTTCCAGGCCGAGTTTAACCTCCTGTATAGGAGCTTACACAGAAAGGAATAAGCCTCTTGGAGTACTACAACTGCTGCATCTTTTCAAGGAAAATAGATGCTTTTAATTTATCATACACACAACAGTAATATTCTTTCCCATTACTCATTTCTTTCAGAGTATTAAATTGCTATCAAGAAGCAAATGGGTAAAAAGAAGTAATGATTGCCCAGGACATGTGAAGGTGAAGTAACTAACAAAGATTCATTGGACATTTCTGGAAGGACTGGGATAGCTGGCATATAAAAAACAGATTTTACTGAATTAAGTAGCTAAGCATGTGTTACGCAGCTGTAATGGAATTTCGAAGAAACAGCTATCACTTAGGTACGGTCTTGAATTAATACACGTCACTCTAAACTGTCTTGGATTAGCTCAGCAACTCTGTCATTTCCAATGTGATGAAAGACCTGCCTTAAAGAGGAAAATATTGGTGCTGTGACAGATTGATCACTTGACATGTTGTTGCGAAATGCCTCAAGCTGTGGCTGGGTCTGCTGCTAGAGAGCTCATAGCAAGCAGTTTAGCATACCTGGTACTATTAGTATTTTATGAAAAGATGGTTAAGCCATTATGACAAGGCAGTTTCATTTTTTGTGTATGTAAGATGCAGGAATACACTGAATTCCTGAGAACTATCTGCTAACACCCACTTCTGTAGGCTAGCCAGCCAGTGGATAATCATTGTATGTTCTCCAAAAAAGCACAGATACCAAATCCAGCTTTACTCCTGATACCTACCAGTCAAAGAACATAGTCCTAAGGTTGTTTTTCAGATTTACAGCTTCCCTAGTTACATTTCACACTAAAGAAACCAAACAATAACCTTAAACATTGTGCAGTACCCGCTGAATTTAGGGTAGAAATCCAACAGCCTCCCCAGTACGTAGAAATCCAACAACAAAACCTACCAGGTCACAGACTAATGTGGCTGATACATGGCAGCTATACCCCAAACACTCAGAACCACCCCATGGGGAGGTCCCCTGCCATCCCTCATGTCTAGCCGTTGGGGAGAAAGAAGAACTGATCGTGTATACATCCAGGGAAAGTCGTGTTGCCTGCAGACATATGTCAGCACTCCGCTGATTTATGCAGGCGAGGTTATTTTTCTGACCATAATGTCTCCAAAGTTTTTTTTAAAGTCTATTTTTTAAAAATTTCTAAACAAACAGCAAGATGGGACACATTTTGTAGAAATTAATATAGAACGTTACATCAACCAGGACAAACTTTCAATTTACCCCTAGCAACTAGGCTAATGGAATTTAAAGCTAGGACTTAGTGAGATCATTTGAATTTTGTGTAAACCCAGTTGAAAGACTTTGCAAAGAGCAATACACAAGCTTTATGAAATGAACTGACCAGATGAGAATGGTGAGCAAAGAGTAGAAGCCAGACTGCTGGTGTCCCCAGGGACAGCTTTGTGTCTGAGCAAAACGGGTGACCAGCTGTTGGCTAGCGCTCACATGCAGTGACTTTTTTTTTCCTTCATTACCCCCTTATATTTTCAAGAAGAGCATGAAAAATGACACAGCTGCTTTTGAAACACAGAATATGCTACATGGGCCTGGGAAGTGTGATATTCCCTGCCGCCAATGGGGACTAAAACCTATTGGTTTATTTCCTTGCCTCTTTTCATTTACTTTTTTCCATTTACTTCATGGTTTTACTTGTCTATGAACAGACCAGATGGATTCAATGAAACCATTCTGCAGCACATATACAACTTCTTTACTGACGGAATTAGTAGTTCTCTCTCATGAAACTTCCCTGCTGAAGTCACACGGCATGAACTGCATTTATGTAAATTCCTCATTTCCTTCAGGAAAATCCTTCTTATTGTTTTATTTTCCTGACTAATCTGAACCTTAATCAGCTCTCTCCTCTCCCATGGAATTCAATAAAAGCGTGTTTACAAAGGCATTACATGTATTTTAAACACAGTTTGAGGAATGATATGTTATAAATCAAATACCTATAGAAAAAATTGGAAAGAAAATAAATCCCCACTTACAACCCTCCATTCCTAATGGTAGACGAGGATTATAGTTCTTGAGAACAAGCTGCCATAGCTGCTGCGCTTAAGTGGTTCATTAAGGCTTGGGAACTAGCTACACACTGAAAGACACATCTGAAAAAAGCTACAGTATGAAAGCCTCTTGTCAGGTCCCAATATGCCATCAGATATCATTTGTGATGAAAGATCAATTGCTTCATTCCCTTTTCTCTGCTAAACTCTTCTGCTACTCAAAATGTTTAGAAATATTCAAATGTTATTTTTTTTATTTCTCTTCGTTACTGGGATGAAGAGTTTCAACTGGGGACTCAATACTGTTACAAAAATTACTTACTTAGATAAGGTCAGGATCCTTCCTAAGACCTGATAGAGACATCTGGAAAGGGAACTTAACAAAACTTCCTGCACCCTTCTATATGGCTTTCCGTATTACAGCAGATGCTGATCCAAAGCAGAGTGCACCATTTGTATTTTCTAGATAGCATTATATATAGTTTCTGCCTTTTAGTTATTACAGCAGGAAAACTGATGTTATTCTTGGTATAAGGAAAAGCTAGCTTATCTGTAATTTCAAATGAAAAAGATTTGCTTGGGTGATGTAGGCAAAAATGCTGAGGAAGCAAAATATGTTATTGCATGCTATTTATCAGTATAGCACAGATGACTTCTCTGAAAAGTTAATTTATATGCAAGTTGCCCACTAACTCCCAGGCATGGTAGACCTGAGTTTGATAGAAGTTTTTCACGTACAAAAAGGGTTTTCTACTTTACCCAAGCAGGAACCTTTAGGAACTAAACCAATGCTATATTACTGGCGCTCTTCCTTTAAACAGCTTCATTCCAGAGACACGATGGTCTGGAAAGGTGCATGTCTGCAGAAATTCCAGTTTTAGTTCCAACAAAAGAACAATGATTTTCCAAGCAAAGTTGGCCTCCAATGACTTGTGAACATTGCATATACAGCCGTCTAGCTCAAACAAAGAAAGTGGGAACCAGTTCCTTTCGTGTGTGTCTCTGTCTCAGGAAACAAAAAAGTGTGTGTATGATAATGGATACCATCTTGCTTCCCCAAGTGAAATCCAGTCGTATGCAAATAGTAGAGAGAAAGCAGACAGCTACTCAGGGCACAAAATAAAATAAGAAGTAACAAGACAAATACACACTTAAGAGAAACACACAGGCCAAAGTAAGAAAGTAGATCTCAAGGAGATCTGGAGCTAACTGTGCAGGATTAAGGTATGGAAAATCTTGGGAGGTGCCCATTCTGACCCAAGGAGGAGGCTGCAGTGCTCTGCTTAAATGAAACACTATGTCTACTCATTTGGATTCACTTCCTAAGACACATATGATAATAACATGTTTGCATGAAACAGCTGATGATTGTTTAGATTGGATGTTCCAGTGACATATCAAGCACAGCTACTTTTAAAGAAAGGACCACCATCAGTCCAGCAACAGAGATTATTGAAAGAAGCTTCTGCTATAACCTCAGCCCCTTCTTTATTCCCACAGCTCATGTGTTTATCCAGTGAGTTGCTCTGTGCTTTGTAAGGAAGTGATGAGTAGATGGTGATGCTGTCAGGCCTGGCATGGGCCTAACAGTACCAGGACGCTCATTTGTCTGTCTGGGTGCTCTGCTGTCCAAGTAGAAAAGCTCCCCCCCACCATCCCTCTTCATCCTGATTGTAGAGGTATGTTGGACTTGTGTGCCCATAAAAGCTGGGTTTACTGTCCTGATTAGGTTGTTGCAATCAAGCACAAGGCTGCCCAGCCAGCGCCCTGGACAGACATGATTACATCAGTTGCCTGTGTTTTAATCCCTTTTCCCATTCTTGACCTTCCGTTTCATCATGCTTGTACCTTGATTTCTCCATCCATCTCCTCTTAAATAAACAACTCAGCCCCAATTACTTTTTCCCAGTTGGTCCCAGCTTTGCTACATCTCTACGCAAATTTGTATTTCTAGGTAATTGCAGCCTCATATGGTATTATTGATATGGTTACGCAGGTATTGTTGGTCCCAAAATGTTCTCAATACTCCCCCTCAATTACCTGTGAAATTCAACTATGTCTCA